TGCAGGGGCTAGTATTACTTTGAATAACACATTGTTTTTCCATATTTCTGTGCACAGGCATGTGTAGATTCATGTGTGTATGTGTGAGCGTATGTCTGCTAGGTGCATGTGTGTGTGTGTGTGTGTGTGTGTGTGTGTGTGTGTGTGTGTATGTATATGTATTTAGAGGCCAGAGGACAAACAGGTTTAGATGCTCAGGAATCATCTACCTTGTTTTTTTGAGACAGGGTCTCTTACTGGCCTGGAACTCACCAAATGGGCTAGGTTGGCTGGCTAGTAAGCCCCAGGAATCCACCTCCCTGGTACTAGGATTACAAGTGCATACCACTAAGCATTGGCTTTTTAACTTGGGTTGTGGGGATCAAACTCAGATTCCTATGCTTGAAGAGCAAGCATTTTAACAACTGAGCTACCTTCTCAATCTCAACATTTTAAAATGCTGTGATAGGTGGCTTCTAAAATGGCACCCAAATGATGATGTGACTGATCCTGCCTCCTAGCATCCATGTGCTTGTATAATCTGCCCTTCCACTGTGGCCCAGCTTCTAAGTAAGGGTTGGTCATCAGAGATGGAGTGTCATTTCTCAGATTAGGCTACAAAAGCCTGTGGCTTCTGTCTTGTCTTCTTTGGCTCGTCAATTATTTACTCTGGTGAACTAGCACATTTTGAGTCACCCTACCTTGCCAAGCACCTAAGGGCCACCTCTAGCCAACAGCCAAGCAGGGAAGCAAGAAGGACCAGCATCCTGTCAGTAACCCTATCAGCACGCTTGAAAGTGAACTCTTTCTTTAGCAAGCCTTGAGGTGTTTGCAGTCCTGCCCAACACATCTTTCAAAGCCTCGTGAGAGACTGAGGGTGAGCGCCTAGCATCCCCACCCACAGATCTGTAAGATATTAACACTCCTTTTGTTATACCCCCAAATCTTGGGATCATTTGCTATATGCAGATAGATACGTAAACAGAAGTAGAGATTTATTACTTCACCAGTACAATCTCAGTGTGCATTTTGATTCTTCTAGTAAGGTTTCAGCCAGGGTCCCAGAGGCTGGAAAGACAGACTGGGACTGGACTGCGGCTGGTGTTAGATATGAGGCTAAGGAATGCAGACATTAATCTGCAGGCCTGGCTCTCACAGACAGTGAAACAAAATCCCAGTCTGACCCTGAAGTGCTTTTCCTCTGCAGTATCCTCAGTGTCAGCACTCAGCTCTCCAGACCTCTGCACAGCTGGGGCACAGGCTGTTCCTGCTCGCTCCCATCTTCTACCCTGCTCTTTTGGGGGTTTAGTTTGGTTTTCTCCTGGTTCCCTCCATTTTGAGAACTGTTCGCTATCGACTCAGATTCACCTGTGTTCTCGTCCATGTGTAAGGATGAAATAAACTCTTGATCTGTTATTTTTTTTAAGACTCATACACAGGCTGCTCCTCCTTATAACCAAGAATATAAATAATTCGGGTCCTTAATTAGTATTATCTGCAGCATCTGATGTAGCAGTAGTATCCCAAGGGAAATAAAATGGATCAATGTGAGACTTCACAGGTGCCTAGGCATGCTGGACCTTGGCCTGAGTGTGAGGTCCACTCAGAGCCCTGCTGCCCCCTTCCCTGGGTGGACACCCATCCATCGGCAGAAGCTGTCTGTTGCATGTCTCCTGGGCTCCTTGCTACCACTTCAGTGATCCGGCTACATCAGGCTTGTACGATGAGCTGCCATGTACCCTGCATTCCCCACATCATAACATGGGTGAGGCCCTGTGGAATGGCTTAGCGGCACTGCCCTCACCTAGTTACACATACACTTCACCCCATGCCAGGTTTGTATACCAGGATGTCTTGCAGTATCAGCCACATGCTACATACTAGCTGATGGACTGAATAAGGACAGATGGAGTCACACGAAAAGATGCCTGAGGCAAGAGAAGTGGGTGTGTCCTTCTCTGATGACCTTGCAGCTGTGTGGGTTCTCCCTGGGCCTTGGCTGGGCCCCTTTCTTTCTAAGAAGTGTGTTGGAGCAGCTGCTCTTGAGGAAGAGCTCCAAGCTGCTAATGTTTTTGCCACCAAGAGGCTTCTATGCCTCTGGCCAGAGGGGCCTTGCTCCTAGTGTGGCCAGCCGTTTAGGAGGGGAAGGGGTGAGGGGAGCAGCACCCCCCAAACATACCCTTTTTTCCCTCATATCAAAATGCCTAATTGTTTTGTAATTCCAGTATCTACTGAAGTGAATTTTAATTATTCTTGTGGTTACTCTTTAATTACAGCCGTAATTATTAAGCATACAGTAGGGTGCTCAGGAGGAGGCAGGGTATGGAGGGACGGTAACATTTAAACAAAAAAGCTCAGAGACAGGGACGGTAACATTTAAACAAAAAAGCTCAGAGACAGGACTGTGCTGAGAAC